TAAATCTCATGAATTGTCCATTAAATTTAATAAATTATTTTTTGAAAAGAATTTTTGGATTATGGGGACTTAGGGGTTATTCAAAAATGACGTCTATTTAAAAGTTGAGATTTTTAGACCCCCCTTTTCTGTTGTTAATTCACATAAGTGTCATAAATCACTAAAACCTTAAAAATTTGATATCATCGATAAACGATTATTAAGATACATATATTTTTGAAGCCGTGTGACAGCCATCCTGGTTTTTGAAATTTTTTGGCATCAACGAAAATAATTTAAGGCCTTTTTAGAATTGAATGAATTATTTATTAAAGAAAGCCCGAATAGCACAAGTCGGTTAATCAAATAGATATCTGGCACATGGATGGTGTGATTCTAGTTTGGTGCTAGACTTAAATCGAATCCAGCCTGATGCCGAACTTATTTTCAATTAACCGACTTGTACTATTCAGGAATGTTTTAATAAGCTATGCCGAATAAGTTTATTCCTCTCAGTGAAATATAATCATCATGTCAATCACCATTCAGACTTCAAAGTACACATCCAGCACTTAGTACCTACATACTTCATCTTTAAAAAATCAATCGATTTTAAAATCATAAATTTTGAATTTCCTCATCAAACTTATTTTTAAATATGAGAAGCACCAAGTCATTCATCAATGAATCCCTCGAAGCTGAAATGAATTTGTTTATTTTTTCTACGTCTTCTTCCGCCTTCCAAAGACGAATGAAGCTGTTGATATATTTTTAATATATTAAATTAACGTTTCCATCCTCCTTCGGAATCGACATCACATTTTCTGTAATTTAATGAACTTGACCTTTCGGAAGCATTTTCAGCTAGTTAACCTTCCATAATAATTATTGCCAAGAATAGCCACAATTAAGATTTCTCTTTAACCATTAATTAATTATTACCTAACAAGTTCCGATGAAAAATAAATCATTAATAAGGAATTAGATGTTATATAAGTCTTAAACAGTGTATTAATATCGTTAACGTACATGGAATAAGCACAGAATATATACTAAATAATGTACCAGAAACTGCAATAAAAATCTTCTTCCTGCTCCGTTCCATTTACACTCAAGGCAATCCGTTCGCATTGTCACAGTTGGAAACTTTCAATTTCATTCTGTTAAATGTTTCAAATTGGCTTGCTTTTTTTTCTTTGTTGTAGGTTTTGTATGGAAATATGGATGCGGATATTGATTGTCGGAATGTCAAGTGTATGGATAGTAGTGTATGGGAACTGTTAAGTTGGGTTCGAGGTTCAAATCCCGAGTAGCACAAGTCGGATAATCGAGATGAAATCCTGCGCTAGGGCGACGTGGTTACGATCTAAGGGCGAATTTCTCGTCATGACGAAAAATTTGCCCTAAAGTCGCCGTGATATCTTCCTTGCATAGGATTTCGTCTCGATTATCCGCCTTGTGCTCTCCGGGAATCTTTAAGATTGTCAAATTCAACTGAGGAACGCTTACTCTTTGGATTTCATAATTCTGTATACATCATTATACTTTACTTACTTCGATGACCTTACAGATCGCTTGTGATCCATGCCATCCCTCAGATGCCGCCTAAAACTGGCTCTATCGCTGGCTACCGCTTGCCAATTTCCTATACTAAGTGCAATACTGTCTCTTTATTATTAACATTTAGTAAGATTCCAAACTGTTGAACGGGAAGCGGAACAACAGAACAAGAAACTGCAGGAAATAGCAGATTTGGCGCTGAATCGAGTGCGATTCAAATGCTTTGTGGACGCCCTACGCTTCATAGTGGAGTAATAGGAACCCATCATCATCATCAAGATTCCCAAATGAGCTACAGGTCATCAGGGAAGGGATCTAAGGTCAAAATTCAAAACTATACACTTTGGTTCAACGTTTTAGCTCGGCACTTAAACCCACCTTAGTTCTTGACAGCGGCATATTTAAGATGGAGGAGGGATCCCCATCAAGTTCTTCTACATATTAAAACAAATCAACTTTTACTCAATAATTTGGGTGCTGCAACATTTCGTAGCATTTTTAATGCGCCAATCTACCTCCATACCCCATTAGACATTTCCAACCAAAATTTTTATCTCCTTCAAAGCCATTTTCATTCAATTTCTCTCCCTTCTGCATTCAATAACATTGTTTCAAAAAGGATATGGTGAAGGAGAAAAAATATTTATGTTAGCAACCGTTTGAGTCCATCAATGCACACATTGATGACATGTACGAGAAAAATGTAAGGAAATGGATAGCAATAACGAATGTCTTCATTTATGATGTTTTATGACATTCTCACATATCACTAGCAATATCTCTATCAATTTAAATTTATATTAGATGTATATACATTTTATTTGAGAAATGATGTAGCTGATGCAGAAGGAGAGAGTTGAAAAAATGAAGGAAGGAAGAGAGTGTCATATAAATGTAATCGTTTAGCCTTGACATTTTTCACACTTATTTTATACTGATGTGCTTTATGTTATCCATATTTAACAGACAATCTCCCATTTTTTTTTGTCACACACAATATGACAAATGTACATCTCAATCTACACATACATACGCACATCCATCTTTGGATATGCCACATGTGAGCCTTTTTTTCCCTTTTGCTGATCTGAATGTTTATGACAAAAGTCGTTTACTTAGGCACTTTCTGCTTCTTCTACTTCCTGTGCACGCTCTTCATTCTATTATTTTTCTTTTCCTATCTCGATATCGAGGCATTGACACTTTACGGAATAATGGATGAAGTCTCATTTGTTCCAATCAATGTATTTCATGAACTTTGCTACAAAGATGCATGAATCTCACGTGTGAGACATGAATGATGGGATGATTTGAATTCATGGGAGGGCAATGTTATTGGATTTGTTGATAAAACAATAGGACATTCTTCTTGGAAGTCGATGGAAATGATTTTTGGTATGGAGCACCTTTAAAATAATTTTTTGTTGTGACTTGATATAGTTGAAGTTTTTGAGGGTTGTTTGGATGTAGCATCATGTATAAAATTGAGACTCATCATTTTTATGCTTTAGCTACAAAATGATAGGAATCGTACCTTCACCCTAAAGCTAGTTTTACATTCTTTATCTTGACTTCCAACATTCAAACTGACAAAATTATTTAATTCTGGATTTCTTCTCTTTGATATAGCACCCCACCCCACCTACCTCCCCATCCCCCATATTTCAATATACACCTATATAAAAAAACTACCATGAAACTTATTTCACTGTAATTCAGCAACAATAAAAAACCCTATCCAACACAGAGCACCCAGACCTTCATAACCTCCCCTAATTTGTTCCCATTAACATAGAATTAAACAAAGAAGTGAAACACAAGAAAATTGTTAAATGAGGCATAAAAATTAAGAGACGAAAATGAAACATGAAGAAAAAGAAGGAAGAGAAAGACATTGAACTGCGTTAGATATATATACACATATAGCTTAAAGCTTATTTTCGCTTGTGAATAAAATTTCCTCGTATTATTCAGAGTTAGAGGTTGAGGATTTGTTGGTAGAGTTATAGGTTCTAGGATTGTAGAGTTTTTGTAATTTTTCAATGTCTGCCCCATCATGTTCTTGTTCTTTTGCCTAATACTAAGGCTGACCGTGATAAGTTCTTGCGTACACTATCAAGAGAAAAGACATCCTGATGCTTTAAGGTTATACGCTGGAACTAGATTCCATAGTCAACCATAGTATCAAGTTTAAACTTTGTTGCCGTACCCTAATAGCACAACATGATTATAGAAAACCTACTTTTTCTCTCAACCCCCCAACACTGCTCAATTTATTCCCCACTGTTCCTCATTGTTGCTGTAAATTGAGATTAAGAAAGGGCAACATCCTTAAGCTTTACACAATCAACTCACAAATAAGAAAATAATGATGAAAATATGTTGATGTTCTAATGGAAAATTTAAGGTCACAATGGGATTAAGTAGATAGTCATGGCAAATCCCGAATGTTTAAAATCTTGTAAGAGAAATAGACATTGTTGCGTCATAAGCTAATGAAAACAATAGGAAGCTTTAAAATGGAAAATTTTTGAGGAATTAAATTTAAGAAGTTTTAAAGCAAAGAAAAAAGGGATTAGGAATATGCTTAGTTTTGGAACACGTTAACATTTGGTAAAAGTTCAGTTTTAGAATAAATTTAGTTTTAAAGATAAGTTGAGTTTTTGGGATTAGTTTAGTTTTAAGATGAGCTTGGTTATAAGGATAAGTTTAGTTTTAAAGATAAGTTTGACTTTACGGATAAGTTTGGTTATAAGGATACGTTTAGTTTTAAAGAAAGATCAGTTTTAGGATAAGTTCGGTTATAAGTATAAATTCAATATTAGGATAAGTTCATTTTAAGGATAAGTTCAGTTTTGAGGATAAGTTCAGTTTTGAGGATAAGTTCAGTTAAAATAATAATTCTGTTTAAGATAAATCAACTTCCAACTCAGAACTATCATCCACTAAAGAATTATTAATTGATCAATCAAGAAACCATTCAACCTCTACTCCCCAAAATATTTTAGAATTTATTTTTAAAGCTGTTTTGGAGGAGTTTTGAAGCTGATTCTGTTTTAATTGAAAATTTAATGACCTGCTAATAAAGCTTCATAATATACACAATGAATCATCCTTCTCCACGTGTAAAAGATACACCTTAATCATGGGAAACCTTCACAGATGGTTTTGACAGTAATATAATAACTTTATGACCATTTGCTAATAAGATCCTTTTGTCTAATATTAAAGTGTCAGCGATTGTAAGTGACACAAAATTATTGACCACAATATTCATTCTAGATGTTTCTGATGCAAAAATCAATCGACACCTTAAGTGTGTTGCACCTATACACGTGTGAAATCTACACGCATGATGTGTAAAGTGCAGTTGGGTATAAAATGCAGCCTAAAGCATAGCAGGACTCATTGAAGTGAAAATTTTCAGTCTGAATAGTTCAAAAAGTTAAAGTCAGTGAAAAATGCCAGCCGTAGAAAAAGTTCAAAATTTTTTAAATCTCTTAAAATATAAGTTAAAGCCAGCCAGGCGATCAGAGAGTGTTTTCATCAAGTTTTCTGACTTTTTTATTTCCGAAAAGATTTTTAATCTTTATGGGCTTCATAATCTGCCATCTAGTTTATCAAATGATGGCAGTAAGAAGAGAAAGTTGCTCTTCCAGGCGTCAATTTTCAGCGTTGCTATATTCACGGTTTTGTCGCTAATTAGTCTAAAAATAGGACTGACCAACGACGGCTCCCTCCTAATGTTGTACGAGAACGGAATTGAATTTTGTGTCGCGGCTATGATTTACATTAAGACATTCTTAATTGCTTACTACTACTGCGAAAAGTTAAAGGAAGTGATCGAGGTTCTTGATTTATATTACCCGAATGATGGATGGAATCAGCAAGTCTTTCAAGTGTCTGGGCATTTAAAAACTTTAAAAATCCATGAAATATTGGCTATTTTATCTTATGCTATTGCATGCTCTGCATTTTGCTTCATGCCATACTTTGTTCAGCTTTATGGTCTTCTAACTTCTCAGAAATTTGAACTTGACTCGATTCTTCACTTCTACTTGCCTATTATTGACCAAAATCAGCTGGTTGTATACGCTATCCTGAATCTTATTGTATTGTACGCAATGTATTCGGGAACAGTCTTTACGTTAATGACTGACTTATTGTATGTCGAGCTTGTAGCTTTAGCAAGCATGGAATTGAGCAATTTGGGTCAACTGATGAGTGAAATTGATCCAGATGATGGCATGGAAAATGCTCAAAAGGAATTAGAAAGACTCACAAAAGTTCACGAGGAGTTGATTGAAGTCACCAGAAAATTAAATGAAATTTTTTCGATCATCATGTTCATTGATCTCTTTGGAATCATTGCATTGATGTGTCTTTCTGCATTTATGACTTTTGTAAGTAATTGCTTTAGTGGATATTGGAATTTAGTGGATATTGGAATTCTGCGATTAAGTAATTTGAGTCATACAAAGTGAAGTGATAGCTTGATAACGTTTTAGAATTGTTCTAAGGGATCGTTCATAAATAATGACCTCCCTCCCCAAAAAAATCTAGACATCATTTTTGAACGGCCCTTTAGGGGCCGTTCACTTATGACGTACAGGGGGGGGGGGGGGGGGGGGGGGTCAGCAAAAAAGAACAATGGAAATCCATTGTTCTTTTTTGAAAAATGACCGTTAATTTCGGACGTCATAATTGAACTGCCCCTAATCCAATTTTTTACCTAATCACAGTCTGGAATCAGCTGGCTCTTATTCATCAGATACATCTTTGTGTTTTTGAATTCAACGTGGAATGTCTACAATCATTGTTTCTACGGAGATCGTTTGAGCGAGTAAGTCATGACTAGTTTTCCTTCCTTTTTTATTCCTTAATTTTTTTGAATAATTCAATATTAGATCATCAATGAAGATAGCGGATGATGCATTCAATAGTAACTGGGTTAGTGGAGACCGAAAGTTTCAAAAAAACATTCAATTCATCATGATGCGTGCCCAAAATGCACAAGTATTGAGAGGCTTGAAGTACCTTGAAGCTAATATGGAAACCTTTGTTTGGGTGAGAATTGGAACCCGATCGGCACACATTGAAATGTTTGCTTCCCGGCAGTTGGGTTGATAGTATAATTAGAACCAAGCGACAGTCGTTTGGAAGCTATTTTCAACTGGATGTCAATTGGTTGTTATTGCCGAGTTTCAATGAATTTCAATGTGTGCCGATCAGGGAAATAATTGAGATATTTTTAAAAAATTATTTATTCGACAGGCTGTCAACCTCACATACTCATACTATTCAGTTATGGTTGCTTTATATGAATCAGAGTAGATTTAATAGTTGTGAAATTGTGAAGATTTAATATTTAAATGTTTAATTATGAATGTAAAGTTGATGTTAATTCAGTGTAAAATGAAATGTTGCCCGAGTAACACAAGTCGATAATCGAGACAATCCTACACTAGAACGTTACGGGGACAACTTGAAGATGAATTTCAAACGCCTCGAAGTTGTCTTGTCATAGTATTTCGTCTCAATTGTTCGACTTTTGCTTTTCGGGTCAATTGATGTATTTAGTCCATTGCCATGCCATGTATATCTAAAGTGCAATATCTGGTAGCACATCTTTCTTGCAACCACATGCTCATGGTTGTCAGCATTCAAAACTGCGTAGATCGGAACATTCAACCAACTGTAGAAGTATTTACTCCATTTTATTTACATTGTACTTAACCTTTCATATTTTATGCCCAAATAATTTATATTTTACCCAGTATGACTACACAAAGCTCCTCAAAAATAAGAAATTGAGAAAAATAAACGAAACATCCGCTCAATGATGGCATCAAAAATCTAAATATTCAGCACAAAAAATAAAAGCTTGTTCCTTCTGAAAAGATCATAACCTTTAAATTTATTTTGGCATATCTCCAGCTATATTTAGACTCGATTCCACAGAAAAACAAAGCCTTGCATAAAGCGAGATTGTTACGATAATTATCAATAATCTGCCTGCGATGATTATGTCCAATAAATTTTTATTAAGCCTGTAAAATTTCAATTAACCATTTTGAGTGTTTTGCAGCCATGAAATAAAGTCAATTTCACTTTCTATGAAAATAATACTATGTAGACATGTCTAGGTTCTGTCTAGTGTGTAGAATTAAAAATTAAAATGAGGACATTTTTTTCGTCTTCTGCAGACTTTTGTGATGTTCATGAATAAATTATTTTTGTTTCTTTCTGTCGTGTGCTCTGTCTGACTTGTCATTGGGGAACAGACACTACAATTTAGAGCCAAAAAAAAAGTTTTTGTGCTATGCTGAATGCAACAATTTATGTGAGATCATTGACAATTCCCAAATGATTATTTATGTCCAATAAATCTGCTTACAATTAAATGTCAACAAAAAAAAAATTATTAAGTATCAGCAACTCATTAAAATTTGATTGACTTGTATTACAAATTGCATAAATGCCACACAGCATAACCATGAATAATTTCATGTCATTTGCATTAGCACAAAAAATGCTCATCAAATTTGAATTGTAAATTGAATGCTTTTGTCATCTGTGATAACAAAAAAAAATATTTTTGACCATTTGGCATGCTGGACGTGATGATTTTGTTAGATTTTTACAATTCGAGTGTATGAAATCCAATTAATCTAGCTTTTATGCTGTCATTTTGTTAGTTAAGGACTTCGATGATGTGACTTTTTTGATGTAAAGTGATTGTTGAAAGGGAGTTTTTGGGAATGATGTGTAATATGCAGAGATCGAAGCCGATTTTTTCGGCTTAACTCAATTTTTGATTTTTTTGATAGAAAAAAGCCATTTGACACCCATTTCAAGTATTTAAATTGAACTTTACATGCTTTACTATGATTCTGTGTAATATTTTGTCAGCATGTAGCTATAGTGAGCTCAGAATTTCAATTTAGCCGATTTAAAGCCGAAATTTAAGCCGATCGGCTTAGCATCGACCAAATTGAAATTCTGAGCTTACTATAGCTACATGCTGACAAAATATTACACAGAATCATAGTAAAGCATGTAAAGTTCAATTTAAATACTTGAAATGGGTGTCGAATGGCTTTTTTCTATCAAAAAAATCAAAAATTGAGTTAAGCCGAAAAAATCGGCTTCGATCTCTGGTAATATGTAATGCAGAAGAGGGGGAAGGGCGGGGGATTTAAGGAATGAAATAATTTAATTGTTCCACTAGAAGATTTATTTGTATACGACACAGTTTACGAAATAAAAATATGATTAACGTAGAAATAATAAGAAGCTGTAGAACCTAACCCCCCCCCCCCCCTTAAAATTTGTTTTTTAATCCTTTTATGAAGAACCTCCGAAGAAGGTCATCAAAATTATCATGGAATTGACAGCTAGAAGAACTCATAATCTAAGAAACCGTTCACTTATTACACGGGTGAAGTATGGGGGGGGGGTCAAAAAAGTAGTTTTTCGCGTTACGTATTATGTGAATTGCCCCTAATCGGATCCAATAAATCATAGTTGTCAAATTTACTAGTTGAGAGGTCAAATCGGACTAAAATCTAGGGTTTTGATGCCCGAGAATTAAAATTTTATACAAATTCCAACTTCCTGTTCCCATTTCCTTCAAAAACCTTCCGAACGAAACTTTTGAACCTTTATCAACTTTGACATCCCTTATTGAATAAAAGAATTGATTTTTGCATCATAATCATTCAAAATCACACAATCTCCATCAATAATGCATGCACAAAAGGTGCTAATTTTTTATCAGATTATCAAAAAATTCAATTTTTTTACCAATTTAATTTCCTCGCAATAAAGCATACAGCGTGTTTCATTCGAAATGTCAAAATATGATATAAACTCAAACACACCTAATTATTTCCATGAACATACATCTCATCTTTCTCGTATCGTCAAATACACGATTTCTGGGAATTCTATGATCAAAGCATTTTTAAAACAAATTTTATTAAGCTTTTTTTGAAAGCTTTTTTTTCCCGTACAAATTTTCAATGTTATAAAATTTCACATAAAATTATAGCATTTTCACATAGCGAGTAGAGAATGTCAACATATTTGTAAGAGCATTTAAGCTCATATGAAGCAAAAGTGATGTTGAAATCCTAGAAAATCCATTGCTCATTGTTTCATGAGCTTCGATTCCAATCGAACGAATTGAAAAATTTTTCAAAAATAATTCCGCAAATTGAATTGAGAACATGATTTCTAAGCTAATAATGTGAGGCTTTGTTAAATTGAAAATAAAGAGATCAGAATTATTGCTTGATTGAGCAACTATCAATAGCTATTATGGATCATATCTGATGATTTTATAGTTTTAGGGGTGTCGATAGATTTTTAACGGTTAATTTTTATTCAAATTGTCAAAAAAAAATTAAAAAGTTTTAAAATTTCCGTTATTTTCTGAAGAAAAAAACCTTAAAAGGTTTCAAACATAAAAAAAAAATAATCCCGAACCACAGGCATCCCTACTCAACATCATCCCCATCAACTCAGTCTTATATCTCATACAGATTCCGAAGACAATCAAGGAAATACAAAAAAAAATCTATCCGTTTCAGAGTAAATCGCTTAAATATCATTTTAAGTACTCTCATTGTCATCGCACAGTCAGCATCATAAATTTTCATGAAGCGCAAATAAGAACAAGATGAAAAAATAAGAGAAGTCGTCTTCTATGTTGCTGATGCCTCATCCTGTCACAATGTGTGAGACATTTTAATAACCTTTTTTCATGCTTTTTTCTCTCATTCAGCATGAAGGAGGAAGTGTCAAGTTTTGCGAGATTAAAAATTTAATGATTGATTTTTAAGGAATGCATTAAATTGTGTTGAATTTTTTAAAAAATTAGTATTTTGAAGAGCTGGGAAGGGGGGGAGGGGGGGGGGGGGGGGGTATTAAGATGACACTCAGAGCTAAGAAGGCTTCATTTCATATTCAAGTATAAGTGACGGATCCAGGGAAGTTTATGGTCCACCAATATCAGCAAATACTACGACAGGTCTTAATTCCTTAAGAAAAGTTTGGACTAACCCGGATCTTTAAATTGTTAACCTTACAGTAAGATAGTCCATAAAATAAATTCAAAGACACATAAAAATTCAATTAAAGTTCAACGAAAAGCTGCAAAATTTCCATTTCAATACAAGCATTCAACAACTTTACAACCCCCGCTTGACATTTAACCATTGTTCACTTAAACTACACAACTCATAACAACTCTAGCCTTGAAAAAGCTAGCAGTCAATAAATCCAAAAAGTCATACCCGAGCAGCACAAGTCGGATAATCAAGACCAAATCCTATGCCAGGAGGACGCTAAGGCAACTTAAGAGCGAAAATTTCCCCCTCAAATTGTCCCAGCCTCGTTCTGACTTATGCTACTCGGGATAAAGCAATTTCGTACAAATTGCAGACATACCCCTTGGGAAATTTCCGAATAAAAGATGAGA